CTAAACCCTAAACCCTAATTATTCGGGGCCCTCTGTTTCGGCGACCAGCACCTGCACGAGTCTTTGCCACCACAGGTGGGCCTTCCCACAGCCTGGCGCTACAGGCGGCGGTTCAGAGCGCGAAGGCTGCTCAGATAGCCGGAGTTGGGCCTGGACTTCAGCAACATAACATATGTAATTTGGGAAGTCAGATTGATCATGGCTACACAAGCTGACATCAGCAGAGAATCATCACATCGCAGTTTGTTTAGAGCTTCCAGATAGGCGCATGCATGGATTGCAGGAAGCGGGGCACCTGTTCGTGGCAGCAGCAGGCAATCTGGGTAGAAGCTGCTCGGCATGGATGCCTTCTCATTAAGTTTATGCTCCATCAATCTCAATCAGCATGTGTCATATCCTTTGCGGGTTTTGCGGGTGTTTCTGGCCGTTGGGGATGCTCAGGTAACGACCTGATCCCGACGTACCCCTGCAACTACGAGCCTGCCCTGTGCGTGGCAGCGACAGCACCCACGGACCAGCTGGCCGACTACAGCAATTATGGCGTTGACTCGGTGCAGATCGCAGCTCCAGGAGTGGGTTAACGAAAGTGATAGAGGGACGGAAGGTTGTGGGCACCTTAAGTTGAAGGTGTAGGGCATGTTTGGATGCTCCAGACTTTGAGGCCCCACTCTGCCACAACCTGAAACCCGCCCTTAATTAAACCCTGCACATGAACCCTACGGCCCTACTCCTCAGACCGATCGCCTTAAACCTGACCCGTTTCGCGAAGCTCATAGAGTCGATCCACCGGAAAGATCATGATTTTTGGTATTTCGGGTGTAGGGGTTTTGGGGTTTTGGNNGTGAGTTCCAGCCGAGAAGGCACCGACATCTTCAGCACACACCTGGGGCCTCGAAGCTACATGGCCCTTAGCGGCACGTCCATGGCTACCCCCCTCGTTGCGGGAGCCACAGCTCTGGTCTGGAGTTGGATGGGCCGAAGCTTTGTGAGTGATCTGGACCCTCGGATTGCACCAGCAGATCTCTGTGCAAGCCGTGGATATGAAAGCCGAAGCCCCGAAGCCGAAACCCGAATGGGTTTCAGATTATGTTAAGGGTTCTTAATCCCGAAAGGTCTAAACCCCAGTTTGCTTAGGGTTGGGGGTTTAAACCCTAAACCCTAAACCGGTTTCTACCTGTAACACCCGAAAGTCTACACGCCCATGCCCTGAGCCGCAAGCTTGGAGTGTCCATGTGCCAAATACCGGGACACCCAACCCTAAACCCTAAACCC